ATAAATATTACGTATAGCCTTGACATTTTGCAGTTATATATAAATATTGATAAACTCTTAAATRTATTTAAATATATATATTTTTAAACTTTTGAATTATTTGTATCGCATTGCATATATCTGGTTTTTATTAAATTAAAGTATAGTTCATAAATAACATAATGAGTGCATATACACATAAATAAAAAAAAATATATTCCATTGTAAATAAACAATGAGTAAGTTCCATAAGCGACTGAGAGTCGAAGAAGTGGAATTCTGGAACCTCTGGATAAGCGTCTTATCGCTGACGACTTATCATCCCAGCGAGAGAAGCAAGCGAATAACAATGGGCAGGCAGGCTGAGAGCCAGAGAGCTCGACTTCAGTCATAGTTCAGATCTAGAATGTTTCGCAACGCTCGGACAAATATCGGTTGGGCCTTGTGGCTGCTGCTGCTGCTGGCGCTGGCGCTGCAGCAGGAGTCGGTGGATGGTGCGCGCTGCATTAAGCCGGATAATCTGGAAAATGGAAGCGTTTGGCAACGACGCAACTTTATACGCTTTCGCTGTTTGCCCACCTTTATGCTGATGGGCAACGCGATGCTCACTTGCGGCCTCAGCGGGCGTCTGAGCGGCGAGCGACCCTTCTGTGCCAGTGAGTACCAAGCGCGATGTCTGGAGACAGACAAGACGCTCTATATATGTGCATGTATGCACTGCTCTGATATCTGTTCTCACTCTTCTCGCGCAGAGTCTGGCTGCCGACAGCCGCCCGATCCGGACAATGGCCGCATCGAGACGCAGCGCGGCTTGATCGCAGCTGTCATGTGCCACGACGACTATGTTGTGGCAGGAAATGGCGTGGCCTATTGCAACGGCCGCGTCTGGGATCGCACGCTGGGAAGCTGTCGGCATCGCAATCATACGCAGAGTCACGCCTGCGACTTTGAGACCGAGGATCTGTGCGGCTGGCAGCCGAGCTACTCCCTGGTGCAGCCCTGGCGACGAGTCGCCACCGTGAGTCACTTCCACTCGTATCGCACGGGTCCGCGCCACGATCACACCCTGCAGAATGCCTACGGCGGCCACTACATGCTGATGGAGACGTCTGTCTTCTCCACCGGCGTACACCACTTGGTGTCGCCCATCTATCCGCGGGAGCTGAGCCTGAAGACCGCCTGCTGCTTCCGTTTTCACTACTTCATGTACGGCTCGGACGTTGGCGATCTGGTGGTCTCAGTCAAGCCGCAAGACCTGCGTGTGGAGCAGATGTGGACGCAGTACCGCAAGCAGTATGTGCTCGCAAAGCGGATGTTGTGATAAGGCATTAAAACTACCCGCTCTCTCTCTCTCTCTCTCTCTCTCTTATTTAGATATACAAAGTTCACAGTATCGGGCAATCAGGGCAACCAGTGGCTGGAGCATACGATCTCCATTGATGAAATGCCGAGCGATTTTCAAGTGATCTTCACGGCGACCGATTCGTCGGCTCACTTCGGCGACATCGCCATCGACGATGTGCGTCTGATGACGGGCAGCCAGCTGTGCGGCTGGTCATACACCACGACGTCGGAGCAGCCAGTGGCCCAGACCTTCGAGCCGGTGATCTATGACACAATGAACTGCACCAACCGCTGCAACACGCCAGCCCCGTTGGACGACGAAGTGCGCGACGATGGCAAGTTGATAAAAGCTTGCGGCTGTGATGCCGGCTGCGTGGATCAGGAGAACTGTTGCCCCGACTATGTCCAGACGTGTGTTGAAACTGACAGGGATTCCACAACAGAGACGGCAATTTCAGAAACACCCGAATGGGGTACAACATCTAAAGCAACAACGCCAACAACAACAACACGCAAAACAACGTCAACAACGCCAACAACAACAACAACACGCAAAACAACAACAACACGTAAAACAACAACAACGCGTAAAACAACAACAACGCGTAAAACAACAACAACAACGCGAAAAACAACAACACCAACAACTACTACTACGAGCACCACCACGCCCCGAACAACAAAAACAACAACTACAACCACGAGCACCACCACACCGCGAACAACAACGCCGACAACAACAACGACAACAACGACGCCGACGACATCGAGCACTGCTGGGAAAACTGAAACATCTGGTATGTTCAATAATACATATTTTTTATTTTATTTTATTTTATTTATTTTATTGAAAATTAAGTTTGCTGATAAAAATTAGTTTTATCTGAGATATATTCGAAATAGTTTAATTTGACCGATATTTTTATTTGTGTTT